TCTTAGTTTTTCCGGATTTTCCTTGGATTATACGTGGATTTAGATGCTCAAGCTCAACATGCAAGAGCTTAGCCACTAGTTAACATTTTTAGTTTTAGAAATCAAGTTCAAATAACAACATTTGTCAGCCAAAATTTCCAGAACTTAGTCGATCATCCACGGTAGCTTAAATGTGACCAGATTTTAAGTCCATTAAAATTTTTTCTAACTAATCCTTGCTCACTGACATTAGCAAAGCTTAATCAACCTCATAACCAGTTTCATTGGAGCTCAGAAATCACCTCACAGCAAGCTAAGTTGTCGGACAGAAAGGTTGAAAAGTTTCCCTTCCTCTCGGCTCTCACGCACAAAGCTGATTCTGGTTGCAGCTGGTGGATGCTACAGTCGTGACGTGGAGTGAAATGGAGATGCAGAATGGGTGGAGTTTGCTCACGGCTTCTCTCAGCCTTCACTCCAGCTTGCGGACAGAGCAAAACAGAAAGAAGATTGCAATTTGCACTCCTCTTGGTCGATACTCACGAGGTAAGTCTCTCCCTCACTCTTGTGTCGTTGATCCAAGACAGAATGGGGTTGTGAAGGATGGTGGTGCTGCGGAATTTAGGTGAGGAGGTTGAGTGTTTAGCAGAGCTTGTGTACGGCAGTGGTGAAGGTTGTGGTTGGCCGAATTGGGTGGTGAAGCTGCGGTTGGCCGAATTGGGTGGCTGGTGATCATGGTGTCCAGGGAGCTGTTTGGCTTTGCAGAAAATGGTCATGGCCGTGGGTGATGTTGTGAAGCTGTGAGGGTATTGTAGACTTTGCACTACTTCTCCAATTAGCCACTTAAGTCCTTGGTCCTAGCTTAGCTCCAAAAATTGTCCCCAAAAGTGATTTGAACTCCTAATAATTTCGCTAATCAAGCAAGACTTTGGTTATCGAAGTTTTATGTCCTAAAAATGGTTAGAGTACTTGTAATTATTTTTATCTAGAATTTATTGATTACAAATTAGTATTAAGCTTCCTTTAACGCTTAACATTCTTGTTTGATTAATTAAACTATTAAAATCAAGTTTGACCAATATATATATAAATCTAACATTTTATGTTAATACGAAAATTTAATCTAGCTCTAAAAATCTTAACTTAGTTTAGTGAAACCAAGGAATTTTATAACTTAGGAAAATTATATAAATTTTCACATAAACGTGTTTTTACGTACTTAGTTGCAAACAAGTAGAAATAGTATTAGGATTTATTAAAGAATAAAAGAAGTGTAAAAGACATATGAAATATTATTTATATATGCATTTTCAGGGTTCTCACATCCTCCCCTCCTTACAAAGAATTTTGTCCTCAAAATTCACACATTCTGGATAAATAAGTCAGGATACTTTTTCTGCATTTCTTCTTCTAACTCCCAAGTTGCTTCCTCAAGTCTATGATTTTTCCACAAAATCTTCACCAGAGGAATTTCCTTATCCCTCAGCTCCTTCATTACTCTATCCAAAATCCTGACCGGTCCTTCTTCATAGGTTAACGTCTCATCCACCTCAATTCCTTCTAGTGGCAACACGTGACTTGGATCAGAATAATATTTCCTAAGCATGGAAACATGAAATACATCGTGAATTTTGGCCATGCTTGCAGGCAACTTCAATTGATACGCTACTAACCCAACTTTCTTCAAAATTTCGAAAGGTCCGATATACCTTGGCTTCAGCTTCTTACCTTTCTTGGACACTACTCCGCCCTTCAAGGGTTTAATTCTGAGAAAAACTTTGTCACCTACTTCAAATTCCAAATCCTTTCTCCTTGTGTCGGCGTAGCTCTTTTGTCTACTCTGAGCAACTTGAAGCCTTTCTCTGATCAATTTTACTTTTTCCTGGGCTTCTTCTATCCAAGGTATAGTTGTAGGGTCTACGATTTTCTTTTCTCCAACTTCATCCCAATGAATCGGAGATCGACACCTCCTTCCATACAAAGCCTCATAGGGTGCCATCTGAATTGAAGCCTGAAAGCTATTATTATAAGCAAATTCCACTAAGGTCATATATTGGCTCCACTTACCTCCAAAATCCAGTATACACGACCTCAGTAGATCCTCTAGAGTTTGAATTGTCCTTTCCGACTGCCCGTCGGTTTGGGGATGGTACGCAGTACTAAACTTCAATTTGGTCCCCAAAGAATCCTGAAATTTCTGCCAAAAACGCGAGACAAATCTTGGGTCTCGATCAGACACGATACTCACTGGAATACCATGTAACCTTAGGATCTCTTCTGTGTACAACTTGACCAATTTTTCCAATGAAAAACTCATGCTTACCGGTAAGAAGTGTGCAGACTTAGTGAGTCGGTCAACTATTACCCAAATTGCGTCAAAACCTTTTTGGCTTTTAGGTAGTCCCGTTACAAAATCCATTGTTATGTGTTCCCATTTCCATTCAGGGATTTCTAATGGTTGTAGTAAACCAGAGGGTTTTTGATGTTCAGCTTTTACTTGTTGGCAGATCAAGCATTTCTGTACAAACGCTGCCACGTCCTTTTTCAAACCTTCCCACCAGTACAATTCCTTTACATCGTGATACATTTTAGTCACACCTGGGTGTATAGTATACATTGACCGATGTGATTCTTCTAGAATTCCTTTTCTTATCTCTTCAACTGACGGAACCACAATTCGGTCTCGAAACCTCAGTACCCCTTCAGGCCCTAATTTGAAGTCTAATGTTTCCCCTTTTTGTACTTTCTCCAAATTCTTCCGAATCATAGGGTCTGTTTTCTGGGCTTCCTTAATCCGCTCTAGTAACGGTGACTTCAATGATAGGTTCCCTAACAAAACCTTCAAATTTTCCAAGCGAGGGTTCCAACCACTTATTTCTTCTAGCATATCCCATTCTTTTACCATTAACCCTGCTACTTGGGCCTTTCTACTTAGAGCGTCAGCCACCACGTTGGCTTTTCCTGGATGGTAATTAATCGAGCAATCATAATCTTCCAGGAATTCTACCCATCGCCTTTGTCTCAAATTCAGCTCCTTTTGGGAGAACAAGTACTTGAGGCTCTTATGATCCGTAAAAACCTCAAAAGTCACGCCGTACAAGTAGTGTCTCCATTTCTTCAAGGCAAAAATTACTGCGGCTAGTTCTAGGTCATGGGTTGGGTAGTTTTGCTCGTGGGGTTTCAATTTCCTAGAAGCATAAGCAACTACCTTGCCCATTTGCATTAAAACACATCCCATACCTTCTCTGGAGGCATCAGAATATACAGCATAACCTTCACCTCCATCAGGCAAAACCAAAACGGGAGCGGAGGTTAACCGCTTCTTTAGCTCCTGAAAACTTGACTCGCACTTCGGAGTCCAGACAAACTTAGCCCCTTTCTTGGTTAGCTCAGTCATAGGTCCTGCAATTTTCGAGAAATCCTGAATAAATCGCCTATAATAACCTGCTAAACCCAAGAAGCTTCTAACTTCGGTTGGAGTTTCTGGTTGTTTCCAATTTATAACGGCCTCAACTTTTGCCGGGTCCACGGCAATACCGTCCTCAGAAACTCTGTGCCCTAGAAAAGATATTTCAGTCAACCAAAACTCACACTTGCTGAATTTGGCATATAGCTTATGTTCTCTTAATATCTGCAAAACCACCTCTAGGTGCTTAGCATGCTCCTCTCGAGACTTAGAGTAAATCAGGATATCATCTATGAAAACCACTACAAACTGATCCAAGTACTTCTTAAAAATTCTTTGCATTAGGTCCATGAAAGCAGCTGGTGCATTGGTTAATCCAAAAGGCATGACTGCAAACTCAAAATGTCCATATCTTGTACTAAAAGCAGTCTTAGGTATATCTTCCTTCTTGATCTTCAACTGATAGTACCCTTGCCTTAAATCCAGCTTAGAGAAGACCACTGACCCTTGCAGTTGGTCGAACAAGCTATCGATTAACGGTAGAGGGTATTTATTCTTAATGGTAGCCTCATTCAACCCTCGATAATCGATACACAACCTCAAGCTTCCATCTTTTTTCTTCACGAATAGGACGGGTGCTCCCCAAGGTGAGTCACTCTCCTTCACAAAACCTTTCTCCAACAGATCTTGTAATTGAATTTTCAATTCTTTTAGCTCGGCAGGAGCCATTCGATACGGGGTCCTGGAAATTGGAGCCGTTCCAGGCATCAAGTCAATCTTAAATTCCACTTCCCTTTCCGGCGGTAGAGTCTTAAGCTCTTCGGGAAAAACATCCGGAAACTCCCGTACCACTGGTACATCCTCCAACCTCACTTGGTCAATGGGAGCATTTATCAAGAAGGCTAAGAAACCTTGCGCTCCTTTAGACAAAATTTTCCTTGCTCGAATTCCTGAGATCATAGCAGAAGATGCTATCCTACCCTTGACATCTAACCTCAGGGTGGCTTCACCAGGTATACAGAATTCCACCACTTTTGCTCGACAGTCAAGTTTAGCATGATGATGGCCTAGAAAATCCATTCCTATTATAACATCATAACCTTTTATATCCAGACTGATCAAATCCACTAGCATTTTACGCTCTCCAATCCAGAATTCACAATTCCTATAAGCCAGACTAGTGATTACCTTTTTATTACCCATGGGTGTCTTAACTTCAAGATCGAAGGGTAATCTAACAGGTTGCACATCTATTCCAGACATAAAGGATGGATTAACGAATGAATGGGTTGCACCAGGGTCAATTAACACTTTAGCTAATCGATGAAAAATCGGGAGTGTACCTTCCACCACTTCCGAGGCGTTAGGTAAGGGTTGGTCACCTATAGCATACACTCTAGCAGGAACTGTCGGCCGGCCTCCTCCAGTGGTGTTTGGTCTAGCGTTTGGGGCAGTCCCGCCTTGCATTTTGGGACATCCAGCAATTTGGTGCTCGCCACTGCCGCACCTCAGGCACTTCCCTTGCTTCTTCCAACAACCATCTATATTATGGCCAGGTTTCTTACAAAATGCACAATTCATTTGGGGAACTATTGCTCGACCTCCCTGCGAGATATTCCTAGGTTGTCCCCTTCCAATCGGTCCCCCCTCTGGCTCCGTTATTTCGACCTCCCGTATTCCTGGCCCCATTTCCTCTTGCTTGGCCGCCTCGTGGCGCTCCAGGACTATTCACTCCAATGTTTCCTCGGCCCACTTTGGCCGGTGGAGCATTGCCATACGTCGGCTCCCGACTACTGCTAGGAGCAAATCTTTTCTTGGCCTGAAAAGATTTCACTTGAGCCCTAGCCACTTCAACTCTCTGGGCTTTCTCGACGGCATCTGCGAACGTGTCAATCCTCACGGCAGCTAAACCTTCCTGCACTTCTACATTCAGACCCTGTACAAACCTTCTGACTCTCCTTTGCTCCGTGGCTACCAATTCAGGAGCAAATCGAGATAGCTTGGTAAACTGGAATTCATACTCGGCGACGCTCATCGCCCCCTGCTTACATTTTATGAAATCATCCTCCCTCTTTTCTTGGATGAGCGGTGGGAGGAATTTGGCATTGAACTCCCTTGTGAAGTTTGCCCAAGTCCTTGGAGTATGATTCGTGTCCCAGTTAGTCCTAACCAGGTTCCACCAGGAGCGAGCAGCTCCCTCAAACTGGAATGCGGCAAAAGTTACCTGACGCACTTCAGTATAGTTTAAAGCTGCGAAGATGTCGGAAATTCTCTCCCACCATCCCTCAGCTATCTCAGGTTCAGGTCCTCCGTAGAACTTAGGAGGTCCAAACTTCAGGAACCTTTCCAGTGCCCAGTCGTTAGAATCGGCTGGGCCTCCTGGATAGCGCACTGGTCCAGCAGCTTGGTGTTCAGTCAAGCGCTCTAGGACATCAGTGATACGATTGATAGCGGTGGCCACTCCATCTCCGGCCCCGCCCTCTTGTCCTTGGTCTGGGTTGACCTCGGGCTCTCTATCTCTACCCGATTCCGGGTGTTGTCTAGTGGGTCTCCCGCGGCCCCTTCCTATCACTTGGCGATCCATAGTCTAAGCTATGCCTATTATGGGAGGATCAAGCGATTAGGCGAAGTGTTATTTATTTAAGCTTATTAATGTTTCCTTAGTAAATAAAATCGATATGGAATGGAGGAAAAATAAGTAAAACACTTAGCATATATTTCCAAGCGAAAGTCATACAAATAATATGTTGGGACATTTCCAAAATGTAAGGCACATAACTAGCAAAAATACATACAAATAATCCCTTATACAAAAATTAGGGATATGGTGCCTCAGAAATAAGTCATCCACCTAGACAAAACTTGATGACCTAGCTAACGTCCCCCTATTCTAACCCTACATATCCAATAAAGTCAAATCGATCCAAGCCTAACCCTCCGCAGGGCTGTCAGGAGCTATGTCCTCCTCCGGATCCTCCTCCGGGTCCTCCTCTGGATCCTCCTCCGGATCCTCCTCTGGATCCTCCTGCTCTACACTCTGAAGGATACTCGTGGCCTCATCTATCATCAGTGAGGCATCAGCCCTGATGCCTGCACTCCTATCACGCATCCTCTCGGCTAGTCGAGTCGCCCTAGACTTCTGTCGCTCTATCTCCAAACGAGCAGCCTCCAGCAAATGATGCTCAGCAGTTAGCCTAACCTCTAAATCGGCTATACGGTCGAACTGAGTGTCCACCATGATACTCAGCTCCTCTACGTCCTGAGACAAAGTGAAGTTAGCGTCCTTCAGCTGGCGACGCTCATCATCCAGGGATAGCACTAGCTCATTGGGGTAGGCATACGTGGCCCTACACTGGCACCGAGGATGCCTATCAGCTGGGGTATAACGTATATGGGCTCCTCCACCTCGGGGTCTATAAGAGATGGACCTAAGAGGCTCTATGTGTCCATTTGACGCCCCATTACCATTAGCGTGTCCATTACCATTCTCCATACCTGCAAAAGAATTAAAACTTAGAGGTTAGAACTCAAATAGCTAGTTAAATCAGCATCACTTAGAATATATCTAATGGTCTCAATTCTTACTTCTAAAAAGTTCGGGGTTTCTAACTCGTATGGTATATTTCTCAAATAACTTTTCTAACCTAGGCTCTGATACCACCTGTGGCGACCCCACTTCCCCCTAAGGCGAACCAAAGGGTTGGCGGGCCATCTGCCCAGCTCTCGCTAGGACTCACGCAAGCAAGCTAACCTAAAATCTTCCGACGATTAACCTAAGCTATTACAATAAAGATCCTTCCGAAAATAAATCGATTTCTAACACCACATTAACTTCAGAGATAACAGTATAAAACTTAGCCAATCGACAGCTCTTAAATACTTCCAGCGACGCTCGCAAAAGATAAGGATGTACTATACTAATACAAACATACAAATTGAGTATTAGAATTAGAGATTACACTTTTCCAGCTTCAAGTGGCAATCCAAAATGAAAAGTACAATGCTTAGCTTAGAATCCGTTACAAACCGAAAATTACAATCAAAATGTTCAAGTACAACCATAAGAAATATAAGCTGCTTAGACACTTTTAAACTTCACGTCCTGTAAGGAAAACAAATAAACATGGGGTGAGCTAAAGCTCAGTGGTGCCCCAAAACATGCAATCACGTAATTCAAACAGCGAGTAATAATTTAAACAAGTTAAACAACTAAGAAAGCGTATAACAACACAAGGTAGGATACAGGGGCTCTCAGGAGCCATTTTCCTCGCTTGAGCACCGTTTATCGTAGTTGACCCTCCGTCAACTCTCACTACTTACAGTCCATGTAGATCCACTTATTTTAATCCTAACCCGTCACCATTCATACCCCAGTCCCGGGACCGCTCACCGACTAAGGACGTGGTATATTCGAGATATACCCGTCATGGTAGTTGGATACAGAAGTCGAGGGATTCACCCAACAACGCAACTACATTTAGTTTTATGGTAGTTGGATACAGAAGTCGAGGGATTCACCCAACGACGCAACTACATTTAGTTTTATGGTAGTTGGATACAGAAGTCGAGGGATTCACCCAACGATGCAACTACATTTAGTTTTATGGTAGTTGGATACAGAAGTCGAGGGATTCACCCAACGACGCAACTACATTTAGTTTTATGGTAGTTGGATACAGAAGTCGAGGGATTCACCCAACGACGCAACTACATTTATGGATTCAGGAGAAAATATTTTGCACAAGTCACCACTCGAACGGCTAGTGCGATAAAGTACACACAGCTCACTTCGATGGATCAGAAACCAATTTTTCAAATTATCACATGTCAAGTCAAGAAAGCACTTAATTCAAGTAGGAAAAGAACAGGCAGGAACACTCACCAAGAGTGAAATTCAGATGTCAAATTGGGGATCGAATTCCGCGTCCTCGCAGTATCCTAGAATACCAAATTTTAAAACTATAAGTTTTCTATTCAATTTTCTTTAAACTTATTTGCATAAGCAATTATCTAATATAATACTAGTTTACTTTCTCAAGAAATTCGAGAATCTATTTAGATTGAATGCTTGACAAAAGAAATAGTAAAAGTGTTCCTTATAGTTTTCCTCAGAAAAGGGTAACTAGTATTATGTACTAGGAACAATTCGACAAACCTCTTAAAAACAAAGTTAGAAGGTTACTTTGAACATTTCTCTAAAGTTACGGCTTTTGCAAAAATTATCCTTGAAACTATTTTTCCTAAAATAGGGTTTCTTGCCGAGTAAGTTTCCCAAGTTTTCCGCTAAACTTAGTGAGACTTGTATTTTGGAACTTTCTTATAGTTAACTATCCAAGTGCAAAACTTAGGGAAAGAAAAGAATTAAAATAGGACTTAGAGTTTCCAAAAGTTTTAGAACTTATTTACGGTAGCTAGCGAGGCTAGGTTGAGCTAAAGGAAATTGTCGAGTTGGAAATTTTTAAGCAAAACACTAGGTATAGAGTTTTATAAAATAATGCTAGCTAGAAAATATTTTTGGTTAATTTTGAACGCCGCTACTCGAGTTCACAAGGTCGATACGATTATTTCCCCGCTCCGATATCATTTCGAAGTCACAATATGGGTCAAAGTATGGCAGAAATCACATAGCAAATTTACTAGGGCTTCGTCAATCATTAGCCCTAGCTTTCAACAATTGCATTTCTGAATAAAATAAAATAGTCAACCAAGGCTTCATCAATCATTAGCACTTGGTTTCAGCAAACCCAACATAAGCAAATCAAATAAAAGTGAAGTCCCAATACATTCCAACAATTAACTTCCATCATCTAATAATACTTTATAAAAAATCATTTCAATGGCTAAGGGCTTCGTCAATCATTAGCCCTTAGCACCCAACCAGTAATTCATGTGACAACCAAGCTAATATTTCAAGTATTTAAATCTGCTAACAGTTATTTAAAACCAAAGACCACATTTGCAGCAACCTCCTACTCAAGTATTTGGTCCAAAGCCAAGAAATTCCATCCATAACTCTTTATCAATCATGACGAAGGCTGGAAAATTTTCCAGCTTTACTTGTATGATCAGAAATCAAAATTTTCCAGCAATTCGTTAGTCCCAAATCAACTTTTCTTTTGGTCACACATGGCATTAGGTGATCAAGTTGAACAAGCGAACACTTAGCCACCTGATTAACGTTTCTAGCTCATACTTCGGATTAGATTGCTAACTACAATATCCTTAGAATTCAGAATTTGTATCATTAGTCTTGGATGGTCATGCATGAGACAAAATTCTGTTTTCACCTCGTTTCTTTGGTCATCCGTTTTAATTCTGTTGCTTGACTACATGCAAATCCTAGTTAACCTGTCATTAGCTGGTTAATCATGAATTTAAGTTCAGCGCAGAAAAATCAAATTAAATCAAGTTGCATTATCAGATTCAGCCCACGAACATTCTGTTTTCCTTAAACCAGAATTTTCCCAAGTTTTTGTTTCATCATCTATTCGCACCCAGTCAACATGCAAATCAATAAATATCTTCATCCCCTATTAGATAATCATAACTATAAGTTCCAGAGCAACAAACTGGAGCCAAGTGAAGCTGCATTGTCCAAACCATTCTTCTCGGCAGAATCATGCTCAACCAAAACAGAATTTTCTCCAAGCTTCTTAATACAACATCCGAACACATAGATTGACATGCATGATCTTAATAATAATCATCCAAAATTCAGTTAGTTAAACACCACTGTGTGCTCAGATTACTCCAACTAATTAAGATTATAAGATCAACTTTCGGCAGTTCGCATAGCATGAATTCCAGCAGCTTTGATCTTAGTTTTTCCGGATTTTCCTTGGATTATACGTGGATTTAGATGCTCAAGCTCAACATGCAAGAGCTTAGCCACTAGTTAACATTTTTAGTTTTAGAAATCAAGTTCAAATAACAACATTTGTCAGCCAAAATTTCCAGAACTTAGTCGATCATCCACGGTAGCTTAAATGTGACCAGATTTTAAGTCCATTAAAATTTTTTCTAACTAATCCTTGCTCACTGACATTAGCAAAGCTTAATCAACCTCATAACCAGTTTCATTGGAGCTCAGAAATCACCTCACAGCAAGCTAAGTTGTCGGACAGAAAGTTTGAAAAGTTTCCCTTCCTCTCGGCTCTCACGCACAAAGCTGATTCTGGTTGCAGCTGGTAGATGCTACAGTCGTGACGTGGAGTGAAATGGAGATGCAGAATGGGTGGAGTTTGCTCACGGCTTCTCTCAGCCTTCACTCCAGCTTGCGGACAGAGCAAAACAGAAAGAAGATTGCAATTTGCACTCCTCTTGGTCGATACTCACGAGGTAAGTCTCTCCCTCACTCTTGTGTCGTTGATCCAAGACAGAATGGGGTTGTGAAGGATGGTGGTGCTGCGGCATTTAGGTGAGGAGGTTGAGTGTTTAGCAGAGCTTGTGTACGGCAGTGGTGAAGGTTGTGGTTGGCCGAATTGGGTGGTGAAGCTGCGGTTGGCCGAATTGGGTGGCTGGTGATCATGGTGTCCGGGGAGCTGTTTGGCTTTGCAGAAAATGGTCATGGCCGTGGGTGATGTT